TTCTGACTAATTTAACGTCGACCGCCGTACGAATGTAACGTTTGAACGTCGTGATCGATTGAGATGCGGCGCTCTAAAGATCTCAATGTGGAATAAATTTGGTGATAGAAGGAACTGATTTGGACGAGTAGATTTTGAGAAATCTCAAAATTAAAAACTGTGAAAAACTGTTTTTTGGAATAACTTTTCAATGGCTTTACCTATCGATTTCAAAAACTAATCAGCTCTTAACCTCAAAAAGTGACGTCGAATGCCGTTTGGAAAATAAAAATTGGTTCATTGGTTTTTTTTTGAATTTGAAATTCAAATTTCAAGAATTTGAAAACAACGTATTTTTTTTAACATAACTTCGAGATTTCGCCACATAATTTGGTGAAATTTGAAGCGCTTTGCATTTGAAGTTAGCGGGAAGTTCCAGGGATGGCCTGCAGGATCAACCAATTTTTTTCTAAGATTATGTTTAACAAATACGTTAGTCAAATTAACCATAGCAAAATTCCACACGAAATTATGTTACATAAATAACTAAAATCAGTTTATGTAAACTTCCCCGCACAACTTTATATCAGCAATTTTGGATCGCTTAATGTGATAGTTAAACACAGTTTTGGGACATATAATAAATGATATGTCATCAATCAATAATATATATATTTTAAGTATAAACTATTAAAATGTTTTAATTATTCTAAGCCAGAGTTTGACTACAACTCCACCAGGTAGTAAAGCCCTAGATGGCGAATCGCACTGTCTTAACGTAACAAAAGCCTATTTACTCTTACTTTTATGATACCTATATTGCTATCGGACGGAAAGACGTCAAAATGATCAAATATGAATCTGGCCTTAACTGCTCTAAGGTAGTCTAGGCGGTGAGCTCGTTAACTATCGCTCTTGCAAGCTCAAATATTTGATAGGCGACCGCTTTAATAAATCTTATTCATGCATTTTTGATGTAGAGATATATTATATCTCGGTCTGGGTACTAAAACCTTTTGAAAATACTTTATGAAGTCCTTTGAGAGGGATTTTTTTAAAACATTTATTCTTAAAAATTACATACAATTGTACATTTATTTTCAACCGACGAAAAAAACGGAGAAGGTTCTCAAGTCGACGAGTATATTTTTTGTTTCTTTATATCCCACGCATAATTTTTTACAGAGTAGTCCAATTTTGATAATTTTTTAATGGTTTTTAATGATACCTCGAAATCGATCCAATATAAATTTGGAAAAAAATATTACGCTAAGGGTGGGAAAATGGGGTTGATTTATTGTTTACCAACAGATTTTATTTCTGAGGTGTATATGACAACATAACATAATAATTACATTACATTCCAAATGAAATCAGGATATATGAGCTTTAGACCTGTCAGTCTCTTGTGTGTAGACCTCTCAGTCTTTGCATTGCTGCTAAAGCTCGTTCATCGTGAGGTTTGTGTAATACTTTATTTGGCTCTAGATCAGATAAAACAATACCGTCAAGTGTTTTTACTCTACTCAGTGCCACATTTGCCTGCTCTTTGACAAACGCTTTCTTTCGATTACAGCTTTAAACAAATTATGATTAAAATAGGATTATATAACAGTTAATAGCTAAAGTAAGGTAAGTAGCTAATTTCAAAATAATCAAAAATTAAACTGTAGTAGTTAGTAGATATTAGCCACAAAAAATTATAAAATAAAAACTTTTTAACAAAAAATTACACCGGAAAAAATTATTTTAAACCATTTCTAAGACATGAAATACATATAATTTACAATATACATACAAACAAGAGTTAAAATACTATAATACATATAGGATAAATTACAGCATTATATAATTTAAATTTGACCTTAAATATTAACGGTTTAACATAGATTTTTTCATTGAAAAATATAATAATACAGGAATATTTCATTAAAATAATCTGTGTCGTTTTCATATAATTTCCACAAAAAATATTTTGACACGAATTTCTACTTTGAATTATCGGCTGTTTTGTGTTTGTCACTGGCAGCTATTATGCGACCTCATCGCTGAGATTTATCTTTACGGCTTTACTCATCAAGTTTGATATTTGCACACAAATTCTGTTCAGAAATTAAAATTTAACTTTGATGAGATTAAATCGAGTTCTCCGATGAAATTCATCACATTAAAACTTCAAACAGATTGCGAATAATTCCTTGCGTGTGTAAAGTGAAGTGAAGACCATTTTAAATCTCTTATCGCATTTATTCGTCATTATTTAACTTAATAAATATTATGTGGTGGAGCCATTCGGCAGCCATATTTTGAATTTTAATTCGAATAGGTCGGATTCAGAGGGTTTCTCTTTGTAATAAAATCCGTAACGCCGATATTTGCAGAACAATAGTACGGATCAGTAGGCTGAAGTAAAGGTTTTTCAGTGGCAGTGGAATAAGTTACGATGATAATAAAATTAAATAAATGAAACTTTGATGACTTGAGATTTGAGACAGTCTAAATCTGAGATGTAGGTAATGGTGAAAACGAGCACACTTGCTGTGGCCCTATCTAATGTCTATCTAATGTGGCCCATATTAATATCTCCATTTAGAATTTTCACACCTGAGTGCTTAAGATAAAATGCTTTGTAACTATTAATACAATCTTTTATTATCGTCAGTCATTATATGTAACCTAGCAGCATTATGCTGATAATACACGCTAATATTCTGTGCTAACGTTACTCTTCCCTAGTCGTTTTTATCCAATAGTTCTGCATCGTACCCCCATCTATCTGATGCCATAAGACTTTTCTCGCATATCGAGCTAAAAAAAGTCATAATTTTGGAAAAAAATAATTTTGAATATTTTACGAACAAATCAACCGATATTGATATAATTTTCGGCAATCGACGCAAATTTAGTAGCAAAAATAGCTAGAATAATTTCCTAGGACCTCGAAACCTCGCGATCTGATTAGAACTCGATTTTCAAAAACAGGAGAGAAAACAATAAATTCCCCAATTTTTGAAATTCATTGATTTTTTTTATAGAATAAAGGTGACAACGAGCCCATCCACCAAACACTATCCTTATTAAAGCAAAAAATAAATCTGTACAATGCCTCTTTTCTATAAAGTTCTCCAGTTTTTACACTTACCATAAAAAAATAGTAGTTAGCTGCATTTTACGCTGACATTCTGTGAGAGCATGGTCCCAAAATTAGATAAAAATTGGTTGAAAACCTCAAGGATGACTTCTGTACAGGATGCCAATAGGTTTGCTAAACATAAGTTTTACAAAACTTTACATTATTATTGTTCATAATAATAAAGGCGTAGGGAAGTGACGACCCCATCGCCCGATGACGTAACAGTTATGTGACAAAACCGCTACGTCAGCGCAGTCAGTCAGCACCTTGCCAAGAGGTGTAAGTGCCGTGCCTCGGCAAAAAATGAAGGTGCAAATGTTCTGTAATTGGAAGACACATATTGATAGCTTATGTAAAATGTTAGACAAATTTGTAATTATTTTATATCGGTTAAGACGAGTGGCTAACATGGAGGCCGCACTCTCTGCCTATAATGGATATGTTTCTTCGATCCTACGTTACGGCTTAATAATATGGGGTAATTCTGTCGATTTCATTAGAGCTTTTCGTGGACAAAAAAAAATGTGTAAGGTCTTTATGCGGAGCACACCAATTAGATAGTTGTATTCCCCTTTTTTCGCAAACATAAAATATTGCCGCTTCCAGCATTATACGTTTATGAAATCTGTATCTTTGTTCACAAAAATAGTAATTTATTTGAAAAACACAACGATGTTGTAATTAGGACTAGTAGAAATATACATAAATTGTGTGTACCAAAGCAAAGAATACAACTCTATTCAAAAAATGTATATTGTATGGCAATACATGTTTACAACAAATTGCCTGTTTGTTTCAAAAGGATGAATATAGGAATCTTTAAAATTAAATTATTTCAATTTCTTTTAAATAAATGTTATTACTCAATAAATGACTTCTTAAATGACAAATTGGACTCGAATTGTATTTATTGAATTGCTGAATTTAATTTTTTGAAATGTTTTAACTAAAATATTATGAATTGATTGATGATTGTTTTATATAGATATAATTTCCATAAGTATTGCTGCAAGTATCTTTATACTATATAATAATTAATGTCTTAGTTTTGTACTTTATTTGAAAAATTATCTATTTGAAAATATTTGTACGCTGGAAACGGCAGAATATTTAGGATCGAAATTCTTTTTGTACGGAACACCTTTAAATGATAGTTGATAGTAAAAATGATTTTATTTAAAATAAATAATGATATTATATAATGATATTGATAATGATATAGAACGCGTCTATCGTGTTCTGAGCGACAACGTCAACTGTCCATTGCTCAAAACTAAAGTGAATAACGCAAATTATGTTTACCTAAATAAATCGCTTACACACTAAAATGTACGGTTGCACTGTACACTTTTGTAACAACAGTAATGTACCATATTATGACAAATAAATCATCTTATCTTATCTTTATCTTTAAAGGCCCGCTTGTGCACATGGCCCCACCATGAAACGGCGCCAGGTCTGGGTGTCTCCCGTTAAATGGCGCCCACTTATATGGATGATGGAATACGGAAGAACGCGCAAAGGGCCGCTGCCTGGAGGTCACCAGGGCGCGTCTGGATCTGGCGCTGGACGCGACAGCATGCGAACCGCCAGCCGAGCGAAAGGTGCTGCACGACCACCCATCAGCCCCTCGCATCCATCATCCCCACCCTCTGGCTTGGTGTCGGCAGGGTCTTGTCGGGCCCAGCAATTGGCACCCGCCACTGGTGGAGTAGGCCGCATGCGATCGATAATCAAAATGAATACCAACGCACTGCGAGCGTATTTTAGGGCGCAAGGGGGGAAATGTTGGAGGTTTGGCATATCGGGCTAGGATGCATCGTCTTTTTGCTGAGCTGGAGCCTTCTATAACCGTCACCGAGCAAAACCTGGCAGACCGACTTCGATCTTGCGCTCAAATATATTTGATGTTGCCGAACTTGAACGGCTACGTCGTGAGGCTGTTCCTTCATCGGGTGAAAATGCTACGGCTGAGGATGCGGCGCCACAACTTGAAGAGCAAACGGCAAACGTGGATGCCGCTGTGAATACCCCAGTTGTGGTTGATTCAAACAATGATGGAACAATCACCCAGGAACTGGAACTAGAGCAAATGAGGAGTACATTGGAAGAGGCGTTTGTTGAAACGCGCAGTACGCCTCTCGAAAATCGACCGCGACTTCTCCGCATAGCCCTAAGCAAGCGGAATCGGGCTGTCGTGAGGGCTCTGAACCCAATGCTGGTGACCTATTTGGAAGCCAGCCGGGATCTTTGCGAGACGGACTCAATTTTTTTTGGCGCCGCACTGGCAGTCTCCCATATTATAGGCGCCAAACTCTCCACGGCTGGACGCGCTACTGGACAAAGTAGTGCTATCCCAGCCTAGAGAATAAGAATTGAAGAACGTATCGCAAAGGCTAGGGCCCTCATCGGCAGACTGATATGCTTCAGGTCAGGCGATACCAGGCCAAGGATTGTGCGCACCGTCAGGATGGCGTTTGCTGGGACAAATGTTAGTTTGTCCCAGCCGGATATAATGCAAAAACTGACGGAGCGCATAGACGACCTGAAACAGACAATCGCTGCTTGGGGAAAGCGAATTCGGCGATATACCGAGAGGTCGACACGGTTCAACCACAATCGTCTCTTCCAGAGTGATCAGAAGAGGCTTTATAAATCATTGGGGCGACCAATGGTAAGTGGAACGGGCCCAGCACCGAATCAGGCCGACACGGTCGCATTCTGGCGCAGCCTGTGGTCAAAGCCCGTAAACCACAGTGAGGGCCTTTGGACGGAAGTTGTGGCGAGTCAGTGTGCGGGTATAACGCCCATGGACCCCGACATCATAACGCCCGATGACGTAACTGAGGCGGTCCGTAGGACCCCGAACTGGAAAGTCCGGGGCTTGACGGGCTGCATTACTACTGGCTGAAGGAGTTCATGGTGTATCACGCTGTGCTCGCCCGACAGTTTCTAGAGGCTCTCAACCAGAAGTCACTCCCAAGCCCCTTCACTACTGGGATCACTCATTTGGTTCCTAAAGACCAGGGTACCACAGACCCGAGCAAATACCGCCCCATCACGTGTCTCAAAATGGATGTTAGTGTCTTGTATATGGTCGGCATATACAAGACACTAACATCCATTTTGAGCGCGTGAATCACTCGTCACCTGGACTCAAATCAGGTGATGTTGCGCGCTCAAAATGGATGTCGGGGCGGCGGTCGTGGAACCAAGGAACCACTCCTCATTGACGAGGTCAATGGCAATGTGGTGAAACGTAACCGTCGTAACTTCTCCGCCGCCTGGATAGACTACAGAAAGGCATTTTACTTGGTGGCCCATACTTGGCTAAAGAGGGTCCTCGAGCTGTACAAGATTGACTGTACAGTTCGAGACTTCCTCGGGCAGTGTATGGGGCAGCTGGAGTACGATCCTATGTTATCTAGGCGAACGGATAACGGCTGTGTGAAATGTATTGGAAAACTGGTGCCTGCTTTCACTTTATTAACATATAAAATATATACATATAAATAAAATCGAAGTCTCTATCAGTATTATTGATATAACTGTTTTTTATCAATTTAATTATTTGCATACCACGCAGATTTTAATGACTATTTGTAAAATTTTGTCTGTCTGTCCGAGCTAGTCTTCGGAATGACTGAGCAGATTGTAATGTATCTTGACGAGCAGCTCTATCTGAACAGCAACGCCAGGAACGATGTATGCTATATTCTGTTCGAAAAACTTTGAACCTTTTTTGAGCATTCAAAAAGTTTAAAAAAAAATGATCTACGGTGATTATATTGAATTAAATAACGCCACATTAAAAAATCCTACCTAGGCAAAGCCCGAACGAGCCATTTGTATAAATATAAGTGATGATAGGAAAACCGCTTTAATAGCCCACGTATATCGTGAAGGATGGATTGATCACCTGGTCGTGTACGATTCGGCATACTATATACTGCCCGCATAATTTGCGAATGACATCAAATGTGGTAGTGTTTATACCATCTGCTCTCTACTACAGCAACGTTGTGGCTGCAGCACGAAAGAGTTGGCACGACCGGGGTTTTATCCCGGTGCACAGTCTCACACAATACCAGAGTGAAACAATCAATCAAATAATAAGTTCTTTATTTGCGAATACAATAATATACAATATTATTATATTAAATATTGAGATCCGCGAGGGTGCATTTAGGGATCGCGTTATTATTATGTTCATGCAATCCTTTTCAGGGTTTAAATTAAAAAAATAAACGGGAAAAATATAAAATTTATGCTAACATGACCACACTTACTCAGGCTCAGGCGGCATTTGGGTAACAATATAACCACACGTTCAAAAATACCGTTGCTGTTTTGGTTTGTGATGGCATTGTGATACATCTGAACTCTGAACGGCTTTGATATGATCTGCCCGCATGTTTTCAACAACAGTCGAATGATTAACGATGAGTCAACTGCCTAACGAAAGTGAACAGCCGTCGCGACGGCCGTTTTGAGGAGTTGACTGCCAGCTACCGCGTCAATAAATATGGGGACTTCCTTATTTTTAAAGTTATTTTGTGTAGGATTCGAATTCGCGCTCTTTCAGTGCCACTAAACGCCGACTGTTAAGTCTGTACTGTAACGTAAACATACGTATGCTACTACCGTAGCAGCACGTATTGACTGATTTTTATGTAAAGAGCACACTTTTGCATTCGTCTACACAGACTTTTATCTTTCGAGTAAACGATTATACTCTAAAACTAAATCTAACGGACAATCTAGCCGAGAGCTTTCTTTAAAAGCTGTCATTCACAATTTTATAAGTACACACCAATCAGCAATCTATCTATGGCATTTTAGATTATAAGTTTTATTTACGTGGTAGAGCCATGCTTCAACTATATTATGGTTGTAGTATAAGTAGGTTGCCTGGATTGAGGATAGGAACACGCTCTCACAGAATACCAGCGTAAAATAGAAGCTATGTTTCATATCGTGAGTGTAGAGAACCGGAGACCCTTTGTACTGGAAACGAGGCATTTCTTCTTAGTCCTCAACGGTAACAACGCAACTGCATTTTGATTATTAATCGAGAATAACTGTAGATGTCTATTGGTCACAGATTCCACTTACGATCAGGTAGACTGTATGCTCGTTTGTCACTCTTGTTCTATAAAATAAAAAGGAGTTAAATTTGGTGCAACCTACTCCTTCTTATAACTCTGACAACGCACCTGCGATCCCCATTTTGTTGCAATTGTTCATGAGCGGCGGTAGTCACTTAATCTCTTAATGTTAATCAGATGAGCTGCGTACTCGTTTTCTCTTCTCTTATGTGAAAAAATAATCTTATTACCAGTTAAATTTTTATCTCTATAACATTTATTAGGAAAAAGTAATCACATAATGTAACATAAAATTAAAATGAAAATTCTAAAATCAACCTACAAAGTTCTTATTCTATAATTAAACTTTATTAATATTAGCGCAGGTGAAGTGTAGGGCGATCCCCCACTATATGAAGTGACGACCTGGTAAGACATGCAGGAATCCGACGGATGCAAGTGACTCAGGACCGTGCTTTGCGGCATTCCTTGGGAGAGGCCTATGATCAACGGTGGACTTGTTAAGCGCTGTAATGATGATGATGATGAATATAAGTGTCTTCGAAGAGTTTTATATAATTTTATTTTTTATATAATTTGAAGTCCCAAACAAACTAACATCCCACTTAATGGTAAATGGCTACTACAGCTAACTTCAAACGAAGGAATTGACCTTGATGATCACGCAAATAGTTACAATATATCCGTTTCATCTTTATGTCACAATGTCATACATGTAGATCATAATTTAACTACATTTCTTTACATAAATCGAATTGATATATCTGCCCGTAGCTTTACATTCACCGCTACAAAAATACATAATAATACAGATTTTTTTATTGTAACACACATCTTAACTGACAGGCGCGACGTTTCACGTCAGTTCTACTCAAACATAAGTAAAGTAGGTAAAGTAAAAGTAAAGTAACAGCATATATACGTCCCACTGCTGTTCACAGGCCTGCCCTCATTTTTCAGAGGGTTTTAGGGCAATGAAGTGTCCGCCGCGCTGCCCCAATGCATGTTGGCAAACTTCACATGTCTTCGAAATGTATTTTTTTTTCTTATTCCTCAGACATGCAGGTTTCCTCTCGATGTTTTCCTTCACCGCCGAACACGTGGTAAATCAGCACTTAAAATTGCAATTGACAATTTCACTGGTGCCGGCGGGGATTGAACCCAGGTTGCTCGCTTCTGTTATATTTACAGCGAGCGTTAACCATCTTAGCTACCACGGCTCTTTTTGAGCTACCACGGCTCTTTCTAAACTACCACGGCTCTTTTTGAGCTACCACGGCAAGTTAAATAGGTATCTGTAATAAAAGCGATAAAATCAGTTTAAATGGGTTTTATGCTAAACGTATTTATTATTTTTTTGTCGAAATCAATAGCCAGGGCTTTAGTTTTTGTTCTGCGTTCACCGACAGCTTTGTCGGATCGCTTTCGATGAGCGTAAAGGTTTCAGCCCATCCATTAGTTACATAGCTACTTTTAACAAGGGGTTCAAAAGAAATTACAATAAAACAAAGGGGGGGCGAGAATTTGTAATGGATCCAGAAGGAAATAAGGGAAAATGAGATCCTATCTGCTTGTCTACTGTACATATACTGTATATGTAATGTAATGTATTTAGCTACTTTTAACAAGTGTATTAAAAGAAATTACAACTAAAACCACAAAGGGCGGGCGGGAATTTGTTAAGTTGGAAATCCAGTGACAGGAAATAAAGGGAAAATGAGATCACTATCTGCTTGTCGACTGTATAAAGCTACGAATTTTTTTTGCTATTAGGAGGTATTCAATCATTTAATTACAGCCTATTATGTCCCCTGCAGAACATAGATAGGCCTCCCCACAGAATGCCTCATGGTTTGCTACAGTTCCTATAGTATAAATATTGTAACATATTGAATAATATGTTGTTGGTTATTTTTAATTAAATACATAAATAGTTGCCAGTACGGGTTAGCAACCGCAGCTTTCCTATAGTTGTTACTATCAAGAAGTTGTTTCCTATCTCCTTGTCTGTACCCCTTTGTCGGCGTGTGTGATGACTGCAGCCCATGGACACCTGTAAATATTCCAAACAAAGACTTGTTGGCAGTTCTCTTATCGCCCACGTATAAGTACGTATGAGCGTCAAACTAATGCTTAATGAATTAAATATAAAATTCTACAACATAATTAGTAACACAATTAAATAAATAAAAAACAGGTATAACGTAAAAATTACTCTCTCTTAATTAAATAAATGAAAAATCACAGCTCAGAAAAATTTGATTACATCAAATTTGAGAAATGTTAAATTCAACCAATAAAAACCAATTATATATGTTTTCAAATGATCACTTTCTCCGAATTTGTATAATCTGCCGTCGGCTTTGGATGCTGGTTTTAAATTAAATTGCTATTGTAATAATTTAAAAGGGACGCACACTACGTAATTTTATTAGGTTATTTTACTAACATTTTACCTATATTTTTTCCCAACCCTTCAACAATGTGTGCACTGCCACTTAATGACAAAAGTAATAATAATGACCTTCAGAACTATTCAGATCAGAAAACTTGCTATCTGTGCAGGATTATAGCGCAGAAGTCTGTGTGTCACTAGATTCAAGACCACTCACACTCTGAACGCTCACTCTATAGTCTGATAGGACAGTGATATGAAACGACCGTAGACTGACCAGGCGCAGGTCCAACGCATTTATGCGTTTTTCGAAGCACATTGGTAAAACACAACTTTCTGACTCCAGACTGCTACTAGTAATATCTGACAGTAAAACCCATTAATAACTGATGGAGGCCCGACTAGGAC